TCGACGGGATTCCTGATGTGCATCTGCGAGATCAGGCGCGCATGCAATCCTTTGGCAGCGTGGACGTTCTGCTCCGGGCCTTCGAAAAAATATCGTTAAGGGATCGAGGCAATGACGCTGTTCCGGTGACCAGGCGAGATGGGCGTAACTCCAGGCAGCGAGTGGAGAACAGGCAGGATGATCAGCCGAGGCGCTGTGCCAACTGTGGTCAGCGTGGCCATTTGGGAATCAACTGTCCGACAATTAGGCATGAGGGTGTCAAGTGCTTTGGATGCGGTGGACGAGGGCATATTGCGATCAAGTGTCCCAAAATAAACGAGGAGAAGAAAAACAATTGCGCGGCGTTGTGTTCGGTGGACTGAGGATTTGTCAAGGACGTTGCGATCGAGCTGGGTGTCAAGATGCGCGCACTGTTGGACACAGGTAGTGACCTCAGTTTATTGAGTGAAACGCAATATCGAAGGCTTGATTTGCCTCCGCTCAGTCGAGAGTTTGTTGTTTTTCGCGGAATGGGGGCCGATGACAATGAGACGATGGGATCGGTGGAAACGAAAATTGAGGTGGACGGGCAAACTTATACAATTCAGATGCACGTAATTGCCAATAGCTTAGCGCTACACGATTTACTGATCGGTACAGATTTCTTGAGCGGAGTCGAGGTAAATATTAGGGGTGGTGATGTGTGCATCACTTCAGTTAAAAATGAAATGCCCGAAGTATTAAATATTCAGGTTGTAAATAGCGGCACTGAACTGGATCTCTCTCACGTAACAAATCGCGGGCATAAAAAAGAAATAATAAAGTTGATCGAAGACTATGTTCCTATTCGGACGTGTGAACCCGAACTCAAAATGAATATCGTAGTCAAGGACGATGAACCTGTATATCAGAGAACAAGGCGGCTATCGGTATCCGAAAGAGAATTAGTTAACAAGCAAATAGATGAGTGGATGCGAGAAGGTATTGTTCAGCAATCTATCTCGGAGTATGCAAGCCCGATTGTTCTTGTAAAGAAAAAAAATGGATCTACTAGAATTTGTATTGATTACCGAAAGCTTAATCAAAAAATAATAAAGGACCGATATCCCCTTCCTCTGATCGAGGATCAACTTGATGCGCTGCAGGATGCGAAAATTTTCAGTACGTTAGATCTAAAAAATGGGTTTTTCCATGTTCCGGTAGATAAATCTAGTCGTAAATATACCGCTTTTATTGTGCCTGACGGAACATATGAAT